TGTCTGCCCAAAACGTCATTAATAACGTCAAAATTGAAGCCAGTTGTAAACATGAAAGTTGTAGGCAATTGTCTCAGCTTTCTTGTGTAAACAATTCAGCTCATTTGGACTTCTAGAACTCCAGATATGGCCAAAATACCGAACAGTGCTCGGGCTGGAAGACAGATTCGGGCTTCTTTGTTGTTGCTACAATTTGGACTTGATAATGGCCTTTTTAGATCTTGGGCTCCATATAAAAGTTGTAGGCCTATGTCTTACCTTTCCATCCATATAAATTGGACCTAAATCTGAGATCTGTAGCTCCAGATATAACCCAATTACCGAACAGTGTTCTGGTTTGAATTGCACCGACATCTCTTCTCTAAGTTTGACCATCTCTTTATCCATGCAATTTAAGTTCTTCAAGTCATCAATCAATCCTTTCATTTATGTGATAGACCTGCATTAAAAATAGACATTTACCACAAATTATAGGTATCTTATATTATTAGATACATTATTATAAAACATATTTTAGTTAAGGAGTTATTGATACTTCAAGTGCAAAATGATGATATAAAACCATGATAAAAATGCACTTTTAAGTACTAATCAGCCAACATCTGCATGATTTAGAATTCAATTTGAAACTGAGAAGTGATAATTGTTTTAGCTATTATTTGAAATACCGTAAGAAATCTATAGGGTAGAGATATCCTAAGAACTTTTGTAATCGTTACAGGTTTTACAGTACTTAATAAATTTTGATAAGTTCAGAACTTTCGTAGAGTATATGAAATTTGTTTGTCGAAATAATTTATTGATGCTCGATAGAGATTAATATTTACATAAGGAAAACATGATTATCAACATTAGGAGTAATTAATTTAATCGAGAAAGTTTACATAGGCATAGTTATGGTAAGTCAGAAATCTTAGAACCAGTACAATTGAATTCATTAATATTTAATCAATTGGTTGTTTGTTTTTTAATCATTAATTTTTGTTTCATAAACTATCTTATTTGATTCCTCAAATAGATCATAATTTAAAAGACTTTGGTAATTAGTAGTAATTTTTACAAATCCTCGTGGGACGATACTCTACTCATCACTTTATTACTTGTTACGATTCGTGCACTTGTGAAATTAACCAACAGTCACCACCTAGTATTATGATCACTAGAAACCCTAACTGATCTCAGAGATCAGATACGTACACTGGTTGCGTAAAGGAAAAATATTAGCATCCCAAATATGCCCTACCTAAGGTAAGCTGCATTATTCATATTTGTTTAATGCAAATCTAAGATTTGGTCGTGTTTTTTAATTGTTGGTTCTGTCTGTCTAAAATTCAAGAAAAGCCCTCCTCAATAAAGAGGTTCTTATTTTAATGGGGTAAAACCTAACCGTTCTAACATTGAAAAAAGATTTAATATCTGGAATATGTATTACGTATAATATCGTTCCCCAGATACTAAAAGACAAACAAAATAAAATTTTTGTTGTTTTTTGGAATTTTGACTAGTGTTCTCTTAACTTTAATAAATTGGTTATTAAAGCCAAAATGCATGTTAGAACATTTTTTTTAGTGTATAAAAAACACAATATAATTTTTTTAGCTTTAAGACACTTTACCGTATACACAAATTTTGTTTTTTCAAATTTTTTTGTATTTTGGAAGTTTTGACGAAAACCGGGTATTTTAATATCGGATTTTGTATTTTTAACAACATAAAAATACTACTTGATATGAATTAAAATGAAATAAAAAATACACGAGAACATTGTAAAATTCCAAAAAATATTTAATTGAATTTAAAAAGAAAAACTAGGTCGGACTTGACCTAACGATTCTGGGCTGGGCTGATGTTCTAGCCTATAACCTGAGCACAATAACCACGTAATTATAATTAAACAGTTACTGTGCTAATTTAGAGTAACCGGTTAATTATTTCTCTTGCTGCAGAAACGTGAACAGTACACGCTCTACATGCAAGAGACCAACTAAGAAGACGAGAAGACAGGGAAGAGTGTTACCTAAAATGGAAGTGCTTTGGTTGTTGAGCTGACGGCGGCTTGCGGTGGCAGTCGAGCATTGTTCCAGACGGTGATTCTACTATTAACAGTTTTTTTCTTCTTGTTGTTGGCTTCTGCTGTCTCTACCCCTACCCCTCGTTTGTTATGTTCTTCCCCATTTATGGTTGGGAGGAGAAATGACGATGATTCCAGGCGGTGGCGTGGCTGTCTTTCTTCTCCTCCTCTGTGTAGAGCCTGCGGTCTCTGTTTTTTCTTCCCTCTCTGTTATGTCCTGTTTCTCTTCTCCCTCTCTGGTTCTGCTGGTGTTGGCAGCGCCGATGGTGACGGAATGGCGGTGCTGCAGTGGTGGAGGAAAGGAAACACGACGGTGGTGCCCGAGGGGGTGAGGAACGATCCTTCTTCTTCTCTGTGCTTAGACCACCAGTCTCTGTTCTTCTCTTCCCCACGTATGCTTTCGCTTTCCCTCCTCTCTTTCAAACAATTCTTCCTGCTCTCTCACCTTTTGTTGTTTCTCCTCCTCTCTTCCAAATTCGTCCCCCCAGTTTTTTTCTGTTTTCAACTACTCAAAACAAACGGCCCTCTTTTGTTTTCTCCACCACTTCTTTCCTTTTCTCCCTCCCCTTTTCTGTTCTCCCCCACCTCTATTTATAAGCAAGAGGAGAGGACCCCTCTACTCTGTCCCATCATGGTGCAAGGGGGAGCTGGGCTACCTTACCATTGCAGGGTAAGGTGGCCGGCTGTTTACAGGGCATGGTGCCCCTTTCTTAACACAGTATAGTTGTGTGGGTATGAGTTTTGATAGGGTTTTATGCAAGTTGGAGAGAGAGAAAGTGAGTTGGAAAAAGATTTTTTCAAAATCCTCTTCTCCCTTGTCTATGCATTTGCAAGGGAGAAGAAGCTGCACAGTGCCGTTTAAAACGGCACCGTGCAGTTTTTTTTTTTAAATAAATTTGAAAATAATCTAAAAATAAATTATGATAAAGGAGACTGTGTATATATGTATAATATAAATTTTGCCCAACTTTCGTAGTTATATATAATCATGAGTATTGTTGCTCCAAATGCTACTGTTGTAATAAGGAAATAAAAAGCAAGAAAGAAAGAGATTGGTCAAAATAGAGTTATACCAGTAGGTAGAACTCCAAGTCATAGTTTTATTTATGAAAATAAAGGCTAATGAGTTATTCCTTACAAGTCTTTAAATAAACATGAGACCAATCTTAGTAAGAAAACAAAATCATAATCCATAAATAAAAAGAAAAATCTATTCAAAAATTTAAAAAACACATAAAATCTAAAAAAATCAAGGAAAAATAACAAAATAGACTTAAAATTCAGCTAGTTATAGCAAGTTGAGCCTCTTATAGAACCGAGCCTCATAGATCTCCTGAAAATATTTAAACTTGAACTAATGGTTAGATAAAAAATTATCATCTTTTAATCCTATATTTTTGGTTTGGTGCGACCTAGCTTTCTCTTGAAACTAGTTCTAGCCTACTGGTTTATAAATATATTTACTAGATTATCTACATAATATGCTAGTGGTAGATCCCCACATAATTATGGCAGATCTCTATTTGACTGTTCAAAATCTTCATTTTTTTTTTGAACGTATGTGTTAAGGGATTTTAGATAAATATTAAGATATTTTCAATTATATAAGATATCAAAACTTCAACATATACCTTGTTTTTTCTTTTCTTCTTAAGATTGAATAAGTAATTGCATGAAATTAAATAGAAATTAAATAAATAAATATTTTAAATAAATAAATAAAAGACAACAAAAATTTACATAAGATGCATATGTGATTCCCAACTTCTCTAATAAATAAATCCATCTATAAAGGATATAACCTTTAATATTTGCCTAAAACAAAAAATATATAAGTAGATATTCCATTGAATCATAAAAAAATAAAGGGAATATCATTTTTAATTTATATATTTTTGAACGATATTTATTTCAAGCTTTTTTATATGTTGAGTATACAATTTGGTTTAGCTGATATCTCCAAAAAAAAAATATAATTTCTATGATCATATCTCATATTTGTTTTTGGCAATAAATCCCTATCAATCATAACTCTGCATCTCTACATACTACTAACATGATCATCCTGTTGTTGATCTTCTAAATCACGCAGACAAAGTATCTAGCTTTTGTCATGAAAAAAAAAGGAGAATGCTGAAAACTTTATCTGCCTTTTGAAGCTATAAAGATGCATCTGACTACCTCTTTAGTTTGCAAGATTAACAACAGGATGATCATGAACTCGTCTTTCAATGTACATTTATGATCAGTAACAAGCTAATTTGAAGTTCTTCGAAAGTGAAATTAGGAACATTGCTTATCCTTGTTATATATGTGGTGGAATAGCATGTTGTGTGATGCATGGAATTAATTGTTGATTGCTTTTTCTTTTTTCATTACTGCAATGCTATCCAATAGTCTATCTTATGCAAATTCAATTTTACAGCTTCAAAAACAAAATCATCCAAAACCTTCGGAGCAACCAAAGAATCACAAAATGTTTAATTCGATAAGTAACCCTGTCCAAATCACATGCACAATACCATATCACATTTGAGTAACTTGTTCATTTATAAACATCAAGTGAAATTCTATAGGGGTTAAAAATGAGAAAAATAAGTAGCTTATACTTATACTTTTAGATTGAAAGTTGTGCTCATTCATGTACATGAACTCTCGTGTGCGCAGATCTATGCATGTAGAGGTCTATAAAATCCCACGTGAATATCTCCACATCCCCAACAAGTAGGGACAGCAGGACTGATGGTTCGACTGGTATGAATAATAATGCACATGAGGATGTCAAAAACAATTGAAAAATACTTAGGAACGTCAATTTAGTACTTTCTCAAACAAAAAGCCTTTCAAAAAACAATATAAATAGCAAGCAAACCATAATATCGAACCCTTTTTGTACTTATTTCTCTTGAATCAACTCAACATTACCGATTGAAGCAAGCTTGAAGGCCTGACATCATACTAGTCAAATACCAACCTATGACACTATATATAATACATGCTGGCTTCAAGGCCATCATTGAAGAGAGGAAAACCACATAAATATCAAGAAAAAGGAAAAGGAAAAACCATACACGCTATTACACTCAATTTATAATGATCAATGGTTGAGGTTCAAACAAACAAGAAAAGGGAAAAACCTCTATGCCAGTTAAATCTCCAGTATTAATCTTCTCGACGGAGCTATTTTCCACCATGCTGAGCAGGGGACAAGAAACGCTGGCTGAGCTTTCCTGGTTTAACGATGTATAATGTAGTGCCCATGAAGGAGACATACAGACGGAATTGCAATATTCCAAAGATTAAGACAGGAAGGAATGAAGCAATGGAAAGGAGTAATGTTGTCAACCTCCTCTCTGTCTGAATGAGTATCAAAATTGTGGCGCCAAATGATAGCATGGTCGTTAACACAGAAAAGAAGAGGAAGGAGAAGCCAACAATAAGTTTTCGAGGAAGAGAGATGTGGAATTCTTGTAGCTCAAATGGAGAGGTCAACAAAGAGAGAAACACCACAAGCGAAGTCAAGGAGCTTGCTAAGGAGACAACATCAGAGACAGTGAAAATCAGAAAATAGGGAGAGTTGATGAAGATGGGCTTGCCATTTTCATCAGAACCTCCGGGCACAGTATAGGCGGCAGCAAAGACAACAGTTGCAACAAGTGCAGCTACAGTGGAACAAGACTGAGATGTTTCCTTGATCCATGTTTGTGCCTTTTCCAGTTGCTTCTCGTGGGCTATTTCGAAGCACTCTCTTGCAGTCATTCCATCTTTGTTCAGAAGCGGGACATAATAAGAAGGGATTACGTCTTGCACTCGCTGCAATAATTGGGAGATAAATATGGTTGTTATTGCTAAATAAAACTACGAATTACAGAAATGTTATTACTAGAGCGCAGATAGTTTTTATTTGTGAATAATATTAAAGTTTTTCCCTAAGCAGTTGGTTAGGAGAATTAGTTCAGCCTGATGTCTTAATTAAGTTCGAGTTTTATAACTCGCGTCTTGGCGAGGTGGCATGTCTACCTATCATTAGCATTAAAAAGGAATCTTTTTACAGTTTAACGGTTTCTGTAAAACCTTAATTTGATTGGATAATTTGGTTGAAACAAATGTTTAGTAGGATTGGTGCTCTTATAACTTGTATCAAGTAGAGATAAAGGGATGAAAAGGGTTCACCTCAAACCATTTCAACTCCTCCTGAAGTTGGAGTGCAGGCCCAGGCTTGGTTACTCCACTGTTTTTCTTCATATCTGCAACATGGTGCAACAATTTGTTTCCGCTATAATCAAGAAATCGACGCATTCTAGCCATTGGTATCTTCTGTTCCTTCACAATATCGAAGATCTTTTTCTGGCGATACATGATGGCCACATCCAAAATGCTCCGATTCATTTCATCGCGCTGGTCCATAGCATAAGGATGGAGTTTTATTATCAGTCGTACAATCTCTTCTATTCCCCTTCTGGTTGCAGTAAACAATGGGATCTCCTTTTTAGTAGTTAACGATGACAATATCGATGCAGAAGTTTGTGCTCTTTCAGTGTATTTAGCAGAAGTATTTTCTCCTTTATTATTTTTTTTCCCACATATTTCTCGCTCTTCTTCTTCTTCATCTTCTTCTTTATTTTGGTCTTCCACTGTTATGGTGACACTTTTCAATGACTCATCTTGCTCTATTAGGCTTTCGGCGAATCTCAAAGCAAATACATGCCTTTTCTTCTCGTTCCAGATTCTTTCTAGCCAACATCCTACATCATGCTCGTGCGAAAGGGAATGAAATTAAACATTGATGAGAGCTAGACATTTTTATGAAATTGAAAGAAATGTTAATAATGATAGTAGAAGAATGAAAAAAAGAGAGAGTTAATGATAGTAAAAGGTGAAAAAATAGAGACATGTTAAATTATCATATAGAAAACAAAACAGCAACAAAAGAAGAAATCGGATGGTAGAAGAAATGCATCTAAGTCGTGCCACTATAAAAGTGTGACACATAGTTTTTCTTTTTTTTTCTTTGAGGAAGAGGCTCTGTCTCTAATGATTCACAAGGATTATTTGAGTAAGCATCTAAAACTAGGATGTGAACCAAAACCACTTTATAACATCGAATCACATTTCTTTCAAGTATAAAGATTATGTCAGCAAAAGTTTGAACTGTTATCTTAAAAATAATTTTATATTAATTCACTAATACACCTTTTTAAGTGACAATTGGTGTTAAAAATGGAGGAGAACTACTCTGCTTGTGTAGCCCGTGACCACTAAAAAAAAAACTAGGACTCAGTTATATTCGAACTATGCCATGAAATTTAAAATTCTCAATAATACCTTTAATTAGGATCTTTAAATAGTTTAGCAGGCCGCCTCTTTGATTCCTCTCCGAGCTGCTCCCCAGATCTCCTGAGTTCCTACCCTGACCGCTCTCAGGATCTCCCACCGTATTCCTTGTCTGGCACCAACTTTCTACCTTTGATTTTACCTCGCAGGGACTTGGAACAGGAAGGCCTGCAACATAATTTAGAGTTGAAATTATTACATATAAGTGTGTGCGTGTGTCCATGGTATACTGACAAGAAATATGTAGGCAATATTGTAAGGTGTAATAATGTGGTTGGAGTAGGCATACAGCAGTAGATGAGTCTTTTACATATGCCCATGGGAAATCCACTCTCAAATGCAGTTGGCATTTCGGCTAGAAGTTGAAGAGTAGATATTTGATTTTTGTCCTTCAAGCTGGCGAGCGATTTATCCAGTTGTAGCAACAGAAAAGCTGTTTCTGCATTTATGAAATTAGGAAGACAGAAATTATACAATATCTTAAATATGTGTACTTTTAAAATTTGAGAGCTCAAAAAGAGAGAAATTTTTACCAAATTTTCGCCCTAAGATAGCAGCGCTAAGGATGGACAGTTCATCTTCCTTTCTCTTGCGGTGAATTAATAACAGGCCATTATCATCCACGCATTGTTCTGGTTTGGAATGGATTAAAAACTGCACTATTTCTGTCTCAGCAAATCCAGCAGCTGTAAACAATGGGGTTTCACCGTAGTTGTTTGCAATGGAAAGCAGGTCTGCACAACGTTCTACCAAGAGCCTTACAGCCTCAAAATTGCCATAGATGGTTGCCTCGTGAAGAGCCGTATTTCCAAATTGGTTTCTTCTCTTGAGAAATGCCTCAGGTAAAGATCTTTGCTTCATGATTTCAAGTAAATCTTTAAGTGGTTGCTCTTTTTTGCTGATTACAGCTAGATGAAGTGCATTATCCTTAGAGGCCGTAACTGGGCAACGGATTTTTTTGAAATGTTTCTGATAGTAGTCAATCATGCGTTGCCACTCTTCCTTCATGGCTGCTTTATAAGGTTCTTCCAGTTCTATCTCAGATGTTATCTACATAAAATTACGAAGTAACTATTGTTAATGAACAATCTCAACTCAAAGCTAATTATACTGTTCGGTAGAATATTCCTTATCAAATTTATATATATTAACTCACAATACCAATCATTAATATAATGGAAAATAAATTTATCACTCAAAGAGAACTGCAAGTATATCTATTAGGATTGCTATCATTACTGTGCAACAATCATACAACATCTATGGTCCTACTCTAAGGAGGGAGACCATTATCAAAAGGCTACAACGATACATGAGTATTGTTGGGGATTCGAATCGATGATATACTGATATTTGCTTATAGGAGGCTTAATACATTGATATAATATTTAATGCGGTTCGACAAATCATCTATATTCATGGAAAAGTTGATATTATTAGAGATAGAGGAAGGATACAAAACAAATCTTTATGCAACAGTGTGTGTGAGAACAATGAAAGTAGAGTTAAGTGAAGTGATCCCTCTTTCTCCATGTATGTTATAACCCTTTCTTTATTTATCTCTAATAATATGGACTTCTCTAATAGATGTAGGTAGTTTGCTTAACCATATTAAATATTATGTTAGTATACTCAGCCTTCAATGAACAACTATCAGTACATTACTGGTCTGGAATCCTCAACAATATCATGCACGTGCATCACTTTTAATAATGGACACGTGTTAGAGGATGATGGTAGTTTAGGAGGTAGTTCATAAGTTTTAGTGATTAGGGATTGAAATAAAAATAGTTTGATAATTAAAGTTTTTAATTGTAGTTAGTGGCGGAGACAAGGGGCTGACCATAGAAGGAAATTGTTTTTCTAGTCCCTCCCTCGATAAGATTTATAGTTTTAGCCTAAATAGTAAAATAACTGAAATGTTGGCCTTTTTAATTTTTTTTTCTGGCCCTGTTCCTGATTGTAGTGGTTAAGAGTTTATAGTTTGGAAATGGTTGAAAGATGTGGGATACACAATGCAAAAACTTTGTTGATAGGAGATATAATACAAGGAGATGAATTATACGAAAAAAGATTTTAAGCTTAGCATTGTTTTTGGCTTACCTTACAAGTGATGATTGCATGTCTATTTATAGCCCTCTTAACCACCCTAAATGGAACAATTTAGACAAACTTTTCACCATAGAACTTGCAAGAATTTTAGCCAATTCACTAGAAAATTTTGGAGTTCTTTGAATAGTGGATGGGCATTCTTTCTTTCATAGAACATTCCTAGTGTTTGTTTCATTTCTCTATAACTTTCCAAACTTAACTTAGCACTAACTTATAGTTTATATTGTTTTCTAGAATTGACCTCTAGAATCTTCAAGTGCATTAATAATTTAACACTCATTGCACTTAACTGATACTCTAAGTTGATATCGTACTGCCTCAAACTTAACTTATGGAAGCGCTTTTGTAAAGATATCTGCTAATTATTCTTCAGTCTTGCAATATTCAAACTTGATATTTTTACCGCCAACTGCTTTTTATAGAAAGTGATGTTTGATTGATATATGCTTAGTCCTACTATTGAATACATGAATTTTTATCAAAGAAATCGTTGACTTATTATTACATAATATCGTTGTAGATCCATTAATTTCTTGGTATTATGTTTAGATTTATAAGACCTTACATTAAGCTTAGACTGAAAAGCACTCTTAATAAAGTCTTCTTCGAAGTACTGATGTGTCTTTTCTTACGTGCTTCTAAAGAACCTATTAGTTCAGCTACTGAAATCTTTTGACTGTTCTATAGTAGTAACTATAGAGTCCTTTTCTTATAAGATTGACTAGAAATTTTTCAACAACCCTTTAATCAATAATATTTTCTCCTACAGTTCTCATTTGATCTACAACTACTTCAATTCTTCCATGATAATATTTAATGGTCTCAGAATCTTTCATTTTAATATTTTCCAACTCTCTTCTTAGTATTTGGAGTCTAATGGTGCATACCTTATAATCGCCGCGAAACTCCTTCTGCAACATATCCCATGCTTGCTTTGCTGTTGAAGCTTCAGTAATCCTAGAAAAAATTGTATTAGCTAGTGACTGCTGAATTAAATATAGGGCACTAACATCCTTATGCTCTTTCACCTCCAACACTTTTTGTTGTGCTTCTTCTAGAAAAGAGATATTTGTTGGCTTGTTAAGTCCATACATAACAATGTCTGTAAGATTTTGAGACTTGAAGAGTGTCATCATTTTTTTTTCCCACAAATCATAGTAGCTGCCATCAAAAATAGGAAGTGACATAGAGAAAAATTGTGATGAATTTGTGTTGGCCATATAGACTCTAATGCCCACTTACGAAATTGGACTTTGATACCACTGAGGATGATGACAGTTTATGAGGTTTTAGTGAATAGGGGTTGAAATGAAAGTAGTTTGATAGTTAAGATTTTTAGTTATAGTAGTTTAGTAAAAGAAAAACTTAGTTTATATTTTGGAAATGGTTGAAGGATGTGGGTTACACAAAGGAAAAACTTTGTTGATAGGAGATATTGTTAGGAGATCCAAACATTCAAACACACACAAATTTACATGGTTCGGCAACTTGCCTACTCCACGGAGCTACTGGTTTGTATTAATCAAGCTCAAAAGCAATACAAACAACAAAACAAGGAGGAGGAGAAAACTTCTCTACTCAACTCAACTCTCACCCTTAGCTCTCTCTCTGTGTTTCTCTCTATCTCGTGGTCTATCTCAGCTATCAATACATCTTCTATTTATAGCTGAGGAGGGAGATGATTGTTCAACAATGGTGGGCAAGTTAGGCACCTACCATTTGACTATGACTTCAACCATGGCTGCCACCAAACATGGCTGCCACCGACCATGGCTGCCACCGGCCATTTGTGTCCATACACATAACAATCTCCCACTTGGACACAAATGGTGTTAGTTCTGTCTTTTAATCTTTAAGACCAACTGAAGCTTTACACAGCTTCAGTTTATCGAGAGTAACTCCTTTGGTTAACATGTCGGCTGGATTCTTGCTTCCACAGATCTTTTCAAGTAACAGTTGTTCATCGTCGAGCAATTGCCTGAT